ATAAAAGTTTAGAGAATCTAAAATTATTTTTAATTAAGTATATTAAATTAATCTTTTTATTCCATAATTAATAGTTATAATCTTAATTTTGATAAAAAATTTTATAAATTTTCTAAAATTGTAATTAAGATTATATCATAGTTTTCTTTAAATTTCTTTATAGTAATTATTAAAATAGAAATAAATTCTTAATAAAGATTAAAATATTAAAAAAATATATTTCTGTCATTTAAAGTAAATATTTCACGTTCAAATGTCTATTGTCTCTTTTTACATTGTGAAAACTCTATGTTTAAATACATAATCAATGACATAATTCGGAAATTTTTGCAGGTAAATTCCACATTACGATAAGCTTTCTCAGAATTCAGAAAAAACACTACTTCAATTACAGAAGTATTTATAAACATTTCTCAATATTCATTCCATAAAAGCAGTTTAAAACTGCGTTATTTAACAACTTCATTTAATATTATACTTAGAAAATATAGGGTATTATTATTACAAATATAAATTTATATATTTATTTATTATCCAGTAAATAGTGCAGAGTTAGAATACTTTTATCGACATATCAGTTTTAAAAAATTATATATAAACAAGCTATCAAAGTACAAAAAAACTATATGAAATACTGCGTATCAAGCAAATTAAACTTTTTCAAAATTCAATTCTTAATCATTGAATTTAAGATAAATCAAATCAAAAATAGTTCTAAATAAATTATTATTGTATTTACATGAATGAATACAAGTCATAATGCTAAGATATTGCTGAAAAGTTAATTTGATAATTTTATTCGCATTTTATATCAATCACATTATCATTAATGAAAATGGTATTAGCAGTAGTAAACGATTCGAAAAAGAATAAAAAATTTCCTTTAAGTATCTTTTTTTTTCTTTCTCATCTTTAATTGCTTTTCGTTTAAAAATGTTAAAGTAATTGAGTTTGTTAGGAGTTTCGGCATTAAATTATTTGGTGATCAAAATTTCTACTAGACCAATAATAGTAGCGAAGGAAAATCAGTTGAATGATGATAGAAATTTTTCTATGGCATTCAGTCCTTCCACATTACAAGATGCTTTTTATATATATATATGTTTTATTGAATGGATTATGAGTTAAATTAAGTAAAAAAAGATAAGAATAAAAATGGATGGCTGTTTTTAAATTTGTTTTATATCAAGTCAAAAAATCATAAGTAAGAAATATATCCGATATATAACAAGTCAATAATATGTTGTTTATTATTTATGTATAAAATATCATCCTTGAGACGTGACCTTTCGTTTTCTGTTTACTTTTTATTATTATTATTTTTTTTATATAGAATAGAATGAATTGCTGTCTTTTCTAATTTGTAAAGAAACTGAGGTCGTCTGATATATTTATTTGTGATGTCCAGCGGCTATTTTTTTTAATGCTTTATAATAGAATTAATCATTTTGGAGAATATTCTTTTACTATATGTTATCTTTTCAAAAGATGAGATAGATGAGACTTTGTTTTATAATTTCTTTTTCCACTTTTCTTATGTTAACCTGCAATTTTTTTGGGGGGTTGAATTAAGTTCATTGCATTAGTGAAGCTTAGTAATTAAGTAAATAATCTTTCAAGAGCTCCTCATTATCCTAATTATTTTTTCCTTGTTTAAGATTAAATAGTTAAAATATTCCTTCATTTTTGAGGTTATTTGGTTATTACGTATTTTCTACACTTAGAATAAACGGTAAGATTTTAATTTGGCTATCTCATCAATGGTTTTGTGATTAAATGGTTCTTTATTTTTCATTACTGAGTTTTATTCTTAGATTTTTTAATACTCTCTTTAATTTTCTCATAGAACTGAAATATCCTATTATAATAATTCTAGTTGATATTTATTAATTGTTTTAATTCTTATCAAGAAGTTGTTAAGGGGGCATGGGGCATTTAAGCACCTCTTTAAATACAAGATTATTGTTTTTCTTAGTTTGGTTTTAATTATTTTTCCAAACAATTACTGTTGAACACCTAACAGCCAGTAAATGAAATAATTAATTTGCTTAATTTTTATATAAAAATTACGCATGAAATATAAGAAAAAATATATCTTGTGTTCCTTTTAAAATATTCTGTATATACACACCTGATTCACATAATTCGAGTATCATTTACTATCTCTTTATTAGGACCACATTAACTAGTTGAATTTAACTATTAATAGTTAAGACAATTAACTAACGGGCTGTACTAGTATTATCTGTATTTATTTATTTACTTTTAGAATTTAAAACATTTCCGTAATTGTACACTTCTCATTTTCATCAATACATAAATAACTTTAACAACAATTTCTAAAATAACAGTTTATTTTTATGCTATTTACTAATAAGCAGTCATATACTTATCACAACAACAATAATATTTTTTTCATTAATTAATCTTTCAAAAGAATTATGAAAATTAATTTAATCATTTTATATTCATATAATTTAGTTACATAAATATTTTAGTTTTAAAAATAATTAATTAAAAGAACATTTCAGGAAAAACAACTAAAACTTTCGCTTAAATATCATTAAAATTATCGAACAATGTTTAATGTTAATTTGTAATCTAATTTTTAAATATACAGAAACCAAATTTTCTTTCTTCATAGAGAATAATTTGTGTGTGTGTTTTTTTAAATAAAATTAATTAATATCTTGCTTTTTTTAGTTTTAAATAATGGCGACGTTTTTAATTAATTATTTAATATTTAATGAATTAATAAGAAAATAATACTTTAAAAAGTCAATATATAATTCATTTTTCAAGATAAAAAATGTGTATAGTTTTTTTAGCATTTTTTATTAAATAAATAAATAAATTATTTTATATCTAGAATTTAATTATAATAATGTTTAGAAATAGAAATTCACTAATGGAAAGTCTATTTTAAATAAAATTATAAATTCTATTGAAGAGATAAATAGAAGGTATAGGAAATGCTAATTCTTAAAACTCCAATAAGGCATAAGTATATAGAAAAATATTTTAATTATGAAATTTATAATATTATTATCGTTAAATGTAATTATAAATATTATAAAATACATTAAATTAGTATAATTAAAAATTCTTAACTAAAAGAAACAATATCTTAAGTTAGAAAAGTAAGTAAAATACAAACCAAATATTATATAAAATTAAGTAATTCATTAAGAAGTATACATATACTGTATGTATTTAATACTATATTATTATTATTATTTTCTTTGAGATGTTAACTAATGAAAGGTTTTATAAGGGATAGAATCGAAATTTTATTCTTAATATATTTGGATATATTTTATTAATTTATTCACTTATTATTTTAATTTAGTTTTTTTAGAAAAATAATGTCTAAAAAAGAATTCACTAAGAACTCTTACAGAAATAATTTACTGTGAATAGCCTATATATTACTGTGTAATCTATATAAAATTTCTTTTATTTAGATTATACAATTTAAAAAGGCCAAGTAGATCTTAAATCATTTCAGTCAATATTAAATAAAAATTACATCAAAAATTGATATTTCACATGTTTAACATAGATTTTTCTTTCACTATATTTGCTTTTTTTTTAAAAAAAAATTAATTAATTAAAGAATTTAACTAATTTAACGTAGAGCATAGATAATAATAAACAAGTTTCAAAAGTATCGAATTAAATCAAAGAAAACGATTTGATTTTATGGTATTTCATTCGTGATCGTTAAAGCGTTATATTTGTAATAATTGCATTAATATCTTATATGTCAACAATATATTTTTCATTTAATGTGCTGCACTGCAGTAAGCCACGGATCGATTAAATAGCCTGAATTACTTCGATCTAATAAGTAACCATAAATTCTATTACAAAGTTTATTTTAAGCTTACACAGTAATTTTACAATGAATATATTTGTTAAACTTTAATCGTATATTTAGTTAAAGATTTGTACAATTCAATATCATCGATTGACCGCATTACCAATATTTATTTATCTCCTTACCACAGATTAAACTGTGTATAGTCTAGTGCTGCCATCTACCGATTGCCATTTCATCTATGTGTTAAATAACACTTGTAATAAAACGTCACACATAGATTTATATTAATTATAAACAACAATAGTTAATTTACAATTGNGTTTTTCCCTTTTCTTTGCTTTCCTTCAGTTGCTTTAATGCGTGAAGTGCATGTGGAATTGGAAGCCGTCAAACAGGAGGAGAAAGATTTGAAAACGCACGGACAGCTGACAAGTGGGGACGAATTGACAAGTGAGTGTTGATTTTGTTTTTATTTCAAAAAGCTTCTCTCGAATGACTTTACTACATCTGTATATAAGAATTTTCTTTTTTTTTCTTTTCTATTTTTTTTTTATTAAATTTTAATTTACATTAAATATCTGCAAATTGTTCGAAAAATATGTGGTTGTATTTCACTCACAACAATACATCATTACGGATTATATAACTGCTTATTTTCAATTACAGTCGACCCCCTATAACACTGTTGATTATTCCGTTTTATATGAATTTCATGTTGTACGAGTCATTTAGATTTTACAAATACATGAGCCGTTTACAGCCCGGCACACGTATTTGTAAAATCTAAGTGACTCGTACAACACGGAATTCATATAAAACGGAATAATCAACAGTGTTATAGGGGGTCGACTGTAATTGAAAATAAGCAGTTATATAATCCGTAATGATGTATTGTTGTGAGTGAAATACAACCACATATTTTTCGAACAATTTGCAGATATTTAATGTAAATTAAAATTTAATAAAAAAAAAATAGAAAAGAAAAAAAAAGAAAATTCTTATATACAGATGTAGTAAAGTCATTCGAGAGAAGCTTTTTGAAATAAAAACAAAATCAACACTCACTTGTCAATTCGTCCCCACTTGTCAGCTGTCCGTGCGTTTTCAAATCTTTCTCCTCCTGTTTGACGGCTTCCAATTCCACATGCACTTCACGCATTAAAGCAACTGAAGGAAAGCAAAGAAAAGGGAAAAACAAATACCATCTACAACGGCAGTCAGGTACGTTTTTGCATACACAAGCATTACAATCAATGTGTTTCTGAGATTATGGGAAAACATAACCAAAACCAAATATGACTTTCGTTAAAAGGTGCAAATATATCAAAAAGGAAATAATAATAATAATAATCAATTGGTTAGATATTCAGGCGGTAGAAAAGCGCAAAAAAGGGGAAAGAAAAATCAATAATGTTAACTTGAAAACTGAAAGTGTTGAATGCAAAGCTTATAAGAGCAGGAAATATTAAAGCCGACGATTAAAAAAAAAGAAAGAAGAAGAAGAAGAAGAAGAAAATGTATAATAATAAATAAGACGAGTAAAAAAAAAAAAAAAAAAAAAAGATTTAAGTCGAAATGACATTCTTAATTTGATGACTTCGACAAAATTGTGATCGAAGAAATCGATTTAAGTTTTCTATTATTTCATTTTCTTAATTTTTTCTTTTTCTTTCTTTCTTTAACATTACGAATGATAAATCATTTACCCTAATCGTTACTTTACTAGTAACTTGTAGCCTACGAAACGTTATTTCATGCAAAAAAAAAAATAATAAATAATAATAATATTACTTTCATTTCGAAAATTTTATAAAGTTTTAAAGGAAAGTTTATTCTCTTTTAAGAACTAAGTTATTTCGGTTTTCATACGTAGTTATTGAGCTAATAATACTAACAAAAAATATATATATATCGACTCCTACGAGATCGTTATTATGTGTTCCTGCAACTCGTTTGATTTATTTATTGTAACATTCTGCTAAAGAAACAAGCAAAGAAACAAATCAATGAACAGAATTTTAACTTGATACAAAAGTTTCGTCTGAGTCATTGAAAATCTAAACAAAACCCGATTTTTCATTTCAGAAATGTTTTCATACTTCACTAATAAATGTATACGCGTTAATCATAAAGCTATTTTCAAAGATGATAGATTTACACATCAAATTTGTATTTTTATTAACTTATGTTTCAGGAAGAAATTAATATTTTTTTTAAGGAAAAAAATAAATAATAATAATAAGATAGATTTATTTTTATTTAATTAATTGCATTTTTAGAAAGATCAGTTTATAAATTTATAAAGTAGATAGTAAAAAAGCTATTAAAAGCAAAACAAAACCGCCTCGATCTATTGTTTTTAATTTAAAAAAAAAA